GTCGAGTTTAGATCTTTTCTCACTTCTCATGTGGGCATTTATTGCTATAAATTTCCCTGTATACACTGCTTTAAATGTGTCCCAGAGATTCTGGTATGTTGTGTCTTTGTTTTCATTGGTTTTGAAGAACATCTTTATTTCTGTCTTCATTTCATTGTTTATCCAGTCAACATTCAAGAGCCAGTTGTTCAGTTTCCATGAAGTTGTGCGATTCTGAGTTAGTTTCTTAATCCCAAGTTCTAATTTGATTGCACTGTGGCCTGAGAGACTGTTTGTTATGATTTCCATTCTTTTGCATTTCCTGAGGAGTGATTTACTTCCAATTATGTGGTCAGTTTTAGATTATGTGTGATGTGGTGCTGAGATTTGGGGTGGAGAGTTCTGTAGATGTCTATTAGGTTTGCTTGGTCCAGATCTGAGTTCAAGTCCTGGATATCCTTATTAATTTTCTGCCTCGTTGATCTGTCTAGTGGAGTGCTAAAGTCTCCCCCTACTATTGTGTGGGAGTCTACGTCTCTTTGTAGGTTGTTAAAAACTTGCTTTATGTATCTGGGTGCTCCTGTATTGGGGGTGTATATATTTAGGATCATTAGCTCTTCTTGTTGCATTAATCCTTTTATCATTATGTAATGCCCTTTTTTGTCTCTTTTGATCTTTGTTGCCTTAAAGTCTATTTTATCAGAGACTAAGATTGCAACTCCTGGTTTTTTTTTGCTCTCCATTTGCTTGGTAAACCTTCCTCCATCCCTTTATTTTGAGCCTATGTGTGTCCTTGCATGTGAGATGGGTTTCCTGGATACAACGCACTGATGGGTTTTGACTTTTTATCCAATTTGCCAGTCTGTGTCTTTTGATTGGGGCATTTGGCCCATTTACATTTAAGGATAATATTGTTATGTGTGAATTTGATCCTGCCATTTTTATGCTAGCTGGTTGTTTTGCCCATTAGTTGATGCAGTTTCTTCATTTTGACGATGCCTTTTACCATTTGGTACATTTTTGGAGTGGCTGGTACTGGTGTTCCTTTCTATGTTTAGTGCTTCTTTCAGGAGCTCTTGTAAGGCAGGCCAAGTAGTGACAAAATCTCCCGGCAATTGCTTGTTCATAAAGGATTTTATTTCTCCGTTGCTTACAAAGTTTAGTTTGGCTGGATATGAAATTCTAGGTTGAAAGTTCTTTTCTTTAAGTATGTTAAATATTGGCCCCCACTCTTTTCTGGCTTGTAGGGTTTCTGCTGAGAAATCTGCTGTTAGTCTGATGGGCTTCCCTTTGTGGGTAACCCGACCTTTCTCTCTGGCTGCCCTTAGCATGTTTTCTTTCATTTCAACCCTGGTGAATCTGACAATTATGTGCCTTGGGGTTGCTCTTCTTGAGGAATATCTTTCTGGTGTTCTCTGTATTTCCTGGACTTGAATATTGGCCCACCTTCCTAGGTTGGGGAAGTTCTCCTGGATAATGCCCTGAAGAGTGTTTTCCAGCTTGGATTCATTCTCTCCTTTATTCAGGTACACCTAACAAACGTAGATTAGGTCTTTTCACATAATCCCATATTTCTTGAAGGCTTTGTTCACCTCTTTTCACTCTTTTTTCTCTAATCTTGCCTTCTTTTTTTATTTCATTGAGTTGATCTTCAATCTCTGATACTCTTTCTTCTGCTTGGTCAATTTGGCTATTGAAACTTGTGTATGCTTCGCAAGGTCTCATGTTGTGTTTTTCAGCTCCATCAAGTCATTTATATTCTTCTCTAAGCTGTTTATTCTCGTTAGCATTTCATCAAACCTTTTTTCAAGGTTCTTAGTTTCTTTGCATTGGGTTAGAACATGTTCTTTTAGCTCAGAAAAGTTCATTATTACTCACCTTCTGAAGCCTATTTCTGTAAATTCATCAGACTCATTTTCCATCCAGCTTTGTTCCTTTGCTGGTTATGAGTTGTGATCCCTTGGAGCAGGAGAGGCATTCTGGTTTTGGGTATCTTCATCCTTTTTGTGCTAGTTTCTTCCCATCTTTGTGGATTTAACTACCTGTGGTCTTTGTAGTTCATGACTTTTGGATGGGGTCTCTGAGCAGATGTCCTTTTTGTTGATGATGAAGTTATTTCTTTTTGTTTTTTAGTTTTCCTTCTAACAGTCAGGCTCCTCTGCTGTAGGACTGCTGGAGGTCCACTCCAGACCCTGCTTGACTGGGGATCACCTGTGGTGGCTGGAGAAAAGTAAGGGTTGCTGCCAGTTTCTTCTTCGGTTATCTTCATCTTAGAAGGATACCCACCAAATGTCAGCCTGAGCTGTCCTTTATGAGGTGACTCTTTGGATCTATGGTGATCAGGGAGCTGCTTGAGAAGACAGTCTGTCCCTTATAGGAAATAAAGTGCTGAGCTGTGAGCTCCATTGTTCTGTTCAGAGCTGCTGTGCAGGTACGTTTAAGTCTGCTGCAGTGAAACTCATAACTGCCTTTTTTCCCAAGTGCTCTGTCCTGGGAAGGGGGGGGCTTTATTTATAAGTTCCTGACATGCTGCTGCCTTTTTTTTCAGAACTGCCCTGCCCAGCAAGGAGGTAGCCTAGTCACAGTCTGCCAGCAGAAGTGTTGCTGAGCTGCCGTGGGCTCTGCCCAGCTACTGTGTGAACTTCCTTGTGGTTTTGTTTATAGAGGTATAGTTAGAACAGCCCCAGTAATGGCAGTCTGCCTCAGTAATGGTAGGCTGCCTCAGCAATGGCGGAGTGCCTCAGCAATGGCGGAGTGCCTCAGTAATGGCGGACTGCTTCAGTAATGGCAGACTGCCTCAGTAATGGCGGACAGCCTCAGTAATGGTGGACTGCCTTGGTAATGGCAGATACCCTTCCCACAACAGAGCTGGACTGTCCCGAGTCCAGCTGCACTTGCTGTGAAACTCTCAGTCTAGAGCGTTTCAGATTGCTGGTCTTAATGGGGGTGGGACCCGCCAAGCCAGATCACCTGGCTCTCTGTTTCAGCCACCTTTTTTTCAGTTGAATAGGTGCCTCTGTCTCCCAGGCATTCCAGCACCAGTTGAAACGGCTGCCCAGATTTGTGTTTTTGTGCAGAGACCCGCTGCACCTGCTAAAACAGCCATGCTGGAAACTGGTAGCACTTTTTAGCCCAGGAATCTCCTGGTCTGTAGGCAGTAATAACTCATTTGGAAACGTGGTGTTCACTCGCCCTCTGCATTGTTCTCACAGGGAACTGCATTCCAGTGCTGTTCCTATTTGGCCATCTTGGATCCTAGCTGCCAAACCTCACTTCTAAATTTTGCATTTTTAATTACATTTTTGTCTTTTTAGGTCCAGTCTTTTCATTAAAAAAATTTTTCTATTGGAGTATTCACACTTATTTTACAGAATTGGGAAGGCTTTGTATAATTTGAGGCGGAGACCTGTTTTTAATTATCTGAGTAATATGTTTTAGAAGTTGTTAGACATATTTCTTTCAAAGAGGAACAGGTTTAAAAAAGAAATGTGCATGTCTTGTAAGGTCTGTAGGACCTGGCCCAAGTACACCCGTGCAGCCTGGGTCCTCCCTGCCGTGCTTTCCCCCTCCCTCCATCCGTACTGACTGCCTTTTAGTTCCTCAAAGGCTCAGTTTTCTCATTTGTGTGCATCAATAATTTAGTTTTATCTCATTTCAAACTAGTTTCATACTTGAGCTCTTACTTTTTCATCTCCTCTTGTTTGGTTGAACTAATGGTTTCTACAAGAAGAATACATAGATTAGAGATATTTTGAAGAGTTTATCTGATAAAATCATGTGCCTTTGCACATGGAAGACACTTTATTGGGTATGAAATTCATGATCACTTTTTTCCAAAGTCTTTAGATAAGATGATCCAGAAGTTTCTAACATTTAGCATCGAAGAGATGAGTCCTGTTAGGGTATTTTGGTTGCTATTGTTCTGCATGACTGCTTATATATATATATTTTATCTTATAATTAAAAAATGGCAATTTAGATGCTGTTTTATCTAGCTGGTATCGTTCTGTTTATATTGGCTTTGCCTGACTGGGAAAGCATTTTAAGTTCCATGCAGAGGTCTTTCTTCAACTCACTAAAGTTTTATTCTGTTATATCATTAATTATTGTTCTGTGTTCTTCCACAATGCTTTCCAAAATCTGTAAGTACATATTTATGTGTGTTTTTGCTCCTGTAATTGAAGGAAGTGATCTCATTTAATATACTCATTGCAGCCTATGCATCACCTAGCACAGTGCACAGCACATGGTAGATCACTGAATAAATACATGTTGAATAACTGGGTAAACTAATATTGTTTTGTTTCATTCTTTATTATGTCTTCTTCAAGAAAACCAATTTTCTTTGTATTCATTATTCTATATGAATTTTTTTTCTTTCATTATCATTTTTTAGTACATTTCTTTATACTCTGGGAGAGTATCTTTAACTTCTATGTTACTATTCATATTTCCCTTGACATAACTTCTCTATACCAACAATATAAAGAAGTATATAGTAATACAAAACAATATATAACATAACTTTCTATTTCAGTGGAGATGTTGGTTTTGTTGCTGAGATTTTAGTTTCTGTGCAATACTTCCTTCTCATTCATTTCTTTCATTTCACTTTCTTTTATTCTCTTTTTGGTGCCTTATCACCTTAGCCTGCTCTCTATGACTTTATGCTTTTGATTCCTGGAGAGTCTGTGTTAGTCCATTCTTACATTGCTATAAAGAAATACCTGAGGCTGAGTAATTTATAAGGAAAAGAGGTTTAATTGGCTCACAGTTCTGCAAGCTGTAAAAGCATGACACCAATATTTGCTTGGCTTCTGGTAAGAGTGTCAGGAAGCTTACAATCATGGTGGAAGGCGACATGGGAGCAGGCACAGTAAGGTCGGAGCAAAAGAGAAAAGGGGGAGGTCCCAGACTCTTTTAAATAACCAGATCTCACATTAACTAACAGAGCAAGAACACACTTCTTATGAATGGGATGCTGCTAACGCATTCATGAGGGATCTGCCTCCATGATCCAGTCACCTCTCACCTGACTCCACCGCCGACAAAGAATGCTAACTAATTTCTCAGTTTTTTTCCTCCTCTGGGTCCTATAACAGATCATTGTCAGAGGGGTGCTCTTCCTTTGAATCTTCTAGATGCAATTCCATTTCCTTTTCCGTCAGTATTTTTTGAAAAGCCCACATTAGTAGTATTCTTTCTATCCCCGAACAGATTAGACGCATCAATATGGGGGTGAATTGATTTCCTTGGTTTCTACCAAATGTTTTTCAAATCTCTGACATGTTCATATCAGCAACAGCCAGCGAATTTTCCAGTTTTGGGGAGCCTTTTGTGAAACATGCTACCTGCCTGGCTATCTGTGTTCTAAATAATGTATAACATGAAAAATAATAACCCTGTAGGCACATTTTCATCAGTTTTATTTTCTGTTCTCTGTACAGCCAGTGGTGCTTCTCTGGTGGTTACACCTCTCAGAATTGGCTACCTCATTTCCCTTATAAACTTTATCACCACCATCATCACTAACCGTCAATGCTTCATGTGCACTTAGTGTCTGGGATTCAGTCTCTGCCTAGATGAGGAAAGACAAGGTAACAGAAGCAAGGTGGGGACAGAGGAGAGGGATGGAATTATACAGTTACAAAAGGAAGAAACTGTTCTTGTTTCGTGGTGAAGTGCTCAAGAAGGCCAGTGGGCAATGGCTCTGGAACTCTAGCATATTCATTAAGTGTGTACTTAATGCACTACTTCTCAGGCTATCTCTGTCTTATGAGAGACACAAAGAAGTCATCTTTATGGCACTGAAGTCAGACAGGATTTCTTGACCAAGATCTCCCACAAGGCACAAATTAGGAAAAAGTGATGAATTTCATTATCATATAGAAAGTAAAACTTCTGTTTAATTATAATCTCCCTAATTAAAGTAAAAAGACAAACCAGAGAGTGGGAAAAGGTATTTGTAATATGCAAGCCTGACATACATAAAGAACTTCTGCATGTCATTTAGAAAGAGAACATCAACCCAACAGAAAAACAGGAAAAGATATGAGCAGGCAGTTAACATAAGGGAAAACCCAAGGATCAAAAATCCTAGGATAAGGTGCTTAACTTCGCCAGTTATCGAAGAAATATAAACAAAAACAGTGAAGCACTATTTTGCACCTATCACTTAGACATTTTAAGTTTTATAATACCAAGTGTTTGCAAGACTACAGCTTACCAAAAATCTTATTAATTGCTAATCAAAGTATACATTGGCATAGCCTTTAGGAAGGCTATTGGCAATGTCCTATAAAAACTGAGTTGCACCTAACCCTTCAATCGGCAATTCGACTTCCAGATATACACTCTAAAGCCATGCTTTGCAAACTAGAGCAAGCGTCAGAATCATGCAAAGGGCTTGTTTAAGCACAGACTCCTGGGACCTAACCCTAGAGTTTCTGATTCAGTAGGCCTGAGATGGGACCTGTGAATTTGCATTGCTAATCATTTCCCAGATGATGCTGATGCTACCGGTCCAGGAACCATCCCTTGAAAATCAGTGCCCTTGCAGAACTCTTCACATACGCACAAGGTATATGGACAACCATGTTTATTGTAGTAGTATTTGTTGCAGAAAAAACAGAAAACAATCTAAATAGTCATTGACAGAACAGATAAGTATACTGTGATATGCTCACATGCTGGAAAAGAATTCTGCACTTTACACAACAAACAAGATCTCCATGCAGATTCAGAGCCACGGCCTCTCTAACAAGTTTTAGAATCGAATTGTTATAAGCCATTTTTGTTGCATTACGTATTCATTCATAATTTCATTGATTTGTGCTTTCTATCTTTTGTTTTTGTTAAACTGCTCAGAATATTTTCTATTATATTGTTTTGTCTTTTTCAGAGAACCAGCTTTTAAAGGTATTTATCAGTTCTTCTGCTTTTCTGCTTTCCAATTAATTAATTTCTGCATTTTATCATCATTAATTTTTTTTATTTGATGTTCTTTTTAGAGCTTATTGAATGGAATCGGGAGCTCATTTATTTTCATTCTGTCTGTTTATTAATGGCAGCATTTAGGGCTACTGATTTCCCATCTGGTGATGCTTTGGGGCCCATTCCACAAATGTTGCTATGTTATTAATTATTCCTATTATTCTCATTATAGTTTGAATTTTCTTTTTGACCCAAGAGTTTTTAAGGGTAGCATTTTTTAAATTTCCATGTATTTAGAGGTTTTTGTTATTACTTTATTGCTTGTGGCATTATAAACAGAGTGGGGAATAGCGTGTGTGTGTGTGGGGGGGGGTATTTTATATGCAATAAAAAAGAATATATATTCTCTATTTAGAGAACACTAAGATCCTTGGGTACGTATTAAATACATTTTATTGATTTATTATTCAAATCCTCTCTATCATAATTAATGGTTTGCATAATCTTTCAAAGACTCAGATACAGTCTGTATAATTAAACAGGAGAGTGAACCACTGATATTTCTTCAGTTGATCTCCTTTCTTCTTTGATCTCATTTCTATTTTCTGCTCTATGGGCTCTGCCTGCCTATGGGTGCCAATGAGGGCCATTGTTACAGACTGAATTGTGTTACCCTAAATTCATATGTGGAAGCCTCAAAACTCAATGTGACCATATTTGGAGATAACGCCTTTAAGGAGGTAATTCAGGTAAATGAAGTCATAAGGGTAGGCCTCTAACCCTGTAGGACTGTGGCTTTATACAAAGAGGAAGAGACACCAGTGCTCTCTCTTCTCATGTGTACAGAGGAAAAACCATGTGAGGACACAGTGAGGAGGTGGCCATTTGCAAGAAAAGGAGAGAAGCCTCAGGAGAAATTAACCCTTCCGGCGCCTTGATCTTGAACTTCCAGCTTCCAGAATTGTGAGAAAATGAATTTCTGTTATTTAAGCCTTCCGTCCTGCAACATTTTGTTATTGCAGCTCAAGCCAACTAATATATTGCATTAACACTTACCACCCAAATTTATCAGCACTTGACCATACATATTCATGGAAGACCTTACTTTCCTCTCCGAAGACCTCCTACCCACCACAATATTTCTGAGACTCACAGGGAGTAGGACATGGGCTAGTTTCCCGTAGTTGTTATATAGCCCTGCAATCTCTCCCTGGGCACGAGAGTTGCCCACCAACTTCTGCTGCTGTCCCAGCCTCTGAATAGATACTGTAAGCTCTTGGCCCATATTGGCAGGGGTCCTGTCTCTGTTTCACTAACAACGCTGGGCACTGGAGCCCCTAAAATGGCCAGGATTTTGTGTATTTGTGGATAGTATCTACTTTGTAGGGAACCAACTCAGAACACAGCATGTGAAATCAAATAATAATGTATGTAATAATCATATACATGTTTCATTATTTTAATATAAAATATCAATAAATATATTATTCTGTGTTATTTACTTTTCTATAACAAAAGGTTATTATTTAAACAAAACAACAATATGATTAACAGTGGCATTTAGCAAATAATCATAGGACCGATAAAATAAATATGTAATAAAATATAACATTTTTATGATTTTTTTTCTGTATTCTGATAGAGCAATTTATTTAAACTCGTGTTTTAAAAAAAGCTTTTATATAAATATTTAAATTGTATAGGCTATATTATGTTTTCTTAACATACATAAATGTAGGGTTTCTGAAAAGAAATAGATAATACAATTATAGATATTAAAGAGACATTACCTATATTTAATAAAAAATAACAATGAAATTTTTCTTTTTGTTCCATGATACAGTAGGGTATTTTTACCCTCGATTTTTCTTTGCCAACAATACTTTTCTGAACTCCCTGCAACCTTTAGGATATTTTTCTTTTCTTTTATGTAGGCGTAAACTGAATATAGTCAAACATAAAAGTTACTTTGACTTGTAGTTCTGCTCTTACCAAATGCATGCTTTAAGGATTCTGGTATCGGTTCAATGTGATGACATCAAGCTAAATTTACCCTCAAGTCTCAAAGTGTTTGGCACAGAATACTTAATAAAAATATTTTATTTACTAGCAACAGCAGGTTTCTAGACTGATAGGAATTAGTTTCTGGCTCTCCAAACTAAGCCTGTATTTACCAACTGGATGGACATTTGTGGAAAGCTGGAAACTAATTCCTACAAGCTGTTGCTAGTTTTCAGGATAAGATGCATTGCTTGATACATGGTAGAAAGTATGACCATTGGTAAGAGCTGAAAGAAACCTGTGCTGCACTGTAATGGGTCAACACCAACATCTATTACCAAAATTTTCCCTTTGGTTCACTCATAGGGCATCATAATTGTGCTTAATAGCTGTTTTAATCAAGAAAGGCAATTTCACTCAATTTCAGGTAACAAGGGAATTACATGATAATGCATGCTTGTGTGGTTATCTCGAGTTAATTCAGCAAGTGCTCCTTTCAGCTAAGCTTTATTGTATTGTTTGGAGATGAAAAACTACTTGATTGATTTAGAAGTATTTGTCTGTGTCTTTCTGGACTTGGGAGATTCAATGTCCATCTGTGTTTTCATGTCTCCTTCCCTATCAGGCCCAATTCAACATTTTTTCACATATCACATAGTATGCTATACTATCTCCTTAACCCACTTATAAGTGTCCTTACATCTTTCATTAAAATTACACAGTCAGTGAGCCCTTTGTTTTCCCAGTGATGTCTAGATTATACTGGCATTTGTATTACAGTTGTTCTCATTTTTATTATATGAACTCTTAGAAAATGTAATCACACTATTCACGATATTAAAAAATTAAACAGGATTGGACATCCAAATTGCTGAAAGAAAGGCCTCTATAAATCTGCTCTTCCAAAAAGCAATTAAAACAGTGGCAACATGTTTAAATCAAAGTTTTCAGAATTCTAAGATTAACCAAAGCCTTACAACAACGTGAAGACCATTCATTTGATGAAAACTGCATATCTCAGTAAGAACAGCAGGATTCACGGCGCTTTAACTTGACCTAATCTTATTCCTGTCTTTCCAGCTCTGCAGTAGCCTTGAAAATTGGCAGCCATTCAGTCAACATGCGGGGTGTTTGGAGCTTCTCAAAAAGCCCCACAGAAGGGCATTGTCACTATGTGGTCTACCTCATAGCTCCCTGGAGAAACCCCATTTGCAACATGCTGTCATTACTTATCTCCAAGCTCACCCTATAGGAAAAGCCCTATCTCCTGAAGGTTTATCGAAATAATCAGTAGTAACAATAATACATTATATAGTTTCAAATAGCTAGAAGGATGACATTGAACGATCCCAAAGAAATGATAAATACTTGAGATGAATATGCTAACTATCCTGATTTGAATATTCTTTATTATATGTATGAAAGCATTGCTATGTACTCTATGAATATGTACAATTACTATTTGTCAGTTGAAAAGTTTTTAATAAAAAACCTTTTTAAAAAATCAGTGTTGATTATTTAACATCACAGCTTCCCAAAGCTGTAATACCAGTTGAGGTAAACAAGAACCTGCCCAATAATTAAAAGGAAGATCTAGGGAGCAATATGCCAAAAAGGACCTTGAAAATCTCTAACATATTCCTGGGGACCTGGAAGGATATGTGCCATGCAATGCTATATGCATGTGAAGGAAAGACCTGAGAATACCCCAAAATCCCTCCTCTCTGGCTGAGCTTGAGGCCCTGAACTCATAGAAAGTAAAGTCTAAGGTAGAGGTATAAACTGTCTGAGTGTTGAAAGACATGACTTTGTACACAGAGTCCCTCAGCAAAAACTGGAAGACGTATTGGCTCAAGGCATTAAAAAACAAAAACAAAAACAAAAACAAAATTCTGACCAAACATCATGTGATCACTCAACTAATTGGACAGAAGCTTCACAAACCACAAAGAATACAGACAATAGCAACAAAAGCATGAACAACAGCAAACTCTCAGGAAAGAAAGAGATTCCCAAAATTACCACATAATATTATCTAAAGTACCCAATTTTCAATGAAAATCGTGAAACACACAGAGAAATAAGAAGGTGTGACCTACATATATATAAAAAATCAGTTAATGAAAATTATCCCTGAAGGAGGACTAGATGTTGGACTTACCAAAGATGTTAAATCAATATTATAAATATGTTCAAAGAACTAAAGGAACTATAGCCAAACAATCAAATAAAGTGTGACAGCAGTGACTCACTAGGTAAAGAATACCAGCAAGTGAATAGAAATTTTGAAAAGAGCCAAAATACAATTATTCAAATGAAAAATTACTATCAGATTTCAACAGCAGATTTGAGTGGGCAGAAGAATCAACAAACTTAAAGATCATTCAACAAAGATTATCTAGTCTGAAGAATAGTGAGAAGATGGAAGAAAATGAACAGAGCCTGAGAGACTTGCAAGACACCATCAAGCACATAAATATATGTATAATGGGAACTTCAGAAGGAGAAAAGAAAGAGAAATCTTTAATCAACACATTCAAGAAGCTGAACAAACACCAAGTAACATAATCTTAGGGAGATATTATAATCAAACTGTTGGAAGACAAGGTCAATCACAGAATTTTGAAAATAGCAAGAGAAAAACAACTCATTACATAAAAGAAATTCTTAATAAGGTTAGTAGCTGACTTCTCAACAGAAACCATGGAGGCCAGAAGACAGTGGAATGACATTTAAAGTACTAGGGGGTGAGGAGAGGACGATGTCCGTTATCTAAGAATTCTGCATACAGCAAAATTACCCTTGGAAAATGGAAAAGAAATTAAAACATTTTGAGACAACCTAAAATAGAGAAAATTTATCAGTAGTAAATCTGCTTTACAAGAAATAACAAAGGGAGTTCTTCAGGCTGAAATGAAAGGACATTAGATGGTGACTCTAATTCACATACAGAAATAATGAGTGCCAGTAAAGGTAATTACATAGACAAATGTAAACCACAGTATAAATGTACTTTTTGTAATCTTTTCTTCTGCTATCTGATTTAAAAGACAGTTTCACAGAGCAATTATAAAATTGTATGAGTGGGCTTATAACATACCAAGATTTAATTTGTGATAAAAACACAAAAGAGTAGAGATTGAATCAATCAATATTGATACCAAGTTTCCAGATATTAATAAAATTAAGTTAATATTAATCCAAACTAGATTGTTTTCAGATGCTAATTACAATTCTCAGTGCAACTGCTAAGAAAATAACTCAAAAAATATGGTTAAAAATGGGATTATAATTATATATTAGAAAATACCATTTTAAAACAAAAGAATGCACTAATGGAAGAACAGAGGAACAAAAAGTCATAGGCATATAGAAAACAAATAGCAAAATGACAACCATAAATACTATTTTAACAATTATATTTAATGTAAATGGATTAAGCTCTGTAATTAAAAGTCAGAGGTTTTGAAAAATGGATTTTAAAGAAACATGATTCATCAGTCTTTTGGCTATAAGGTTTCATGGTAGATTCAAAACACAAATAGGTTAGAAGTAAAAAGACAGAAAAAGATACACCATGCAAATAATGGCCAAAACAATGCAGAATATTTGTATTGATATTAGACAAAATCCATTTTAAAACAAATTTTTACTAGAAACAAAGCAGGAAATTTTATAATGATAAATTTTCAACATATCTGGTAGGCATAACAATTATTAACATATGTGCACCAAACAACAGAGCCCAAAAATATATGAAAGAAAAACCAATGGAATAAAATGGAGAAATAGACAATTCAACAATAATAGAGACTTCAATAACCCATCTTCAGTAATTGATGCAACAACAGACAGAAGCTCAATAAGAAAACTGAAGACTTGAACAAACTGTAAACCAAATAGATCTAAGAGATGTATATAGAAAGAAATCCACCAAATAACAGCAGAATACACATTCTTCTGAAGCACACATGGGACATTTTCCAGAATAAACAATAAACATAAAGCAAACCTCAATAAATTTTCAAGGAATTATACAAGGTATGCTATCTAACCATAACAAAATAAAATTGGAAATCAGTAACAGAAGGAAACATGAAAATGTACTAATATGTGAAAATTAAACATGCTTCAAAATAATCAATGGATCAAAAAGTAAATAACAGTAAAATTAGAAAATACTTTGACATACATGTAGCTAAACACATCAAATGAAAACTTTTGTAATGCAGCAAAAGCAGTGCTTACAGGGAAATTTAAAGCTATAAACATCTACATTAAAAAAGAATAATCTCAAATCAATAACCTTACCTTCCACTTCAGGAAAAAAGAAAGAGCAAACTTAACCAAAGGCAAGCAGAGGGAAGGAAATATTGAAGCAGAAATAAATGAAATAGATAATAGAAAAACAGAGAGAATCAATGAAACAAAAAGTTGGTTCTTTGAAAAGATAAAAAATATCAACAAACTTTTAACTAGCTTGACCAAGGAAAAAGAGAGAAAACTCAACTTACCAAAATCAGGAGTAACAAAAGCTGAGGTGGGAGAACAGCTTGAGCCCAGGAATTCAAGGCTGCAGTAAGGTATAATTGTGCCACTGCACTCCAGCCTGGACAAGAGTGAAGCTCTGTCTCTAAAAAAATGAAAGAGGGAATATTACTACTGACCTTAGAGTAATGTAAAGAATTATTATATACAATTATTGTGTACAGTATAAAGGGTATTATGTACAATTGTACCCCAACAAATTAGATAACCTAGATAAAATGAACAAATTTCTAGAAAGACACAAAACACCAAAACTGACTCGAGAAGAAATAGAAAATCTGAATGGCCCTATAACAAATAACAGGATTGACTTACTAGTTTAAAAATTATCCCCCAAAGGGAAGCCCAGCCCCAAATGGCTTCATTAGTGAATTCTAACACACATTTGAAGAAAAAATAATGCTAATTTTTCACAAATTCTACCAAAAAGATAAGGGAACATTCTATACCCAAATCATTCTATGGGGAAGTATTTCACTGATACAAAAACAAAATAGGTATCACAAGAAAATAATACTACAGACCAAAATTCTTCATAAATATAGATGCAACATTTCTTACAAAATATTACCAGGCAGAATCCTGCAACATGTAAAAGTGCCCAAGTGGAATTTATCTCAGGAATATAAAGTTGTTTTAACATCCAAAACTCTATCAGTGTAATTAATTAATGTGTACGTTATAAAATGAAGGACCAACCCCCTTCATGATATTCTTAATAAATGCAGAGAAAGTAGCTGACAAAATCCAATCCCATTTGATGATTAAGTAGATAACAACATTTATGAATAAAAGGGAACTTCCTCAACCTAATAAAGATCCCCTATGAAAAACCCACAGTTAACATCACACTTAATGGTAAAAGACTAAATTATTTCCACCTAAGATCAGGAACAAGACAATAATATCCACTGTCACCACTTTTCAATCAACATTACTCTGAAAGTTCCAGCCAGGGCAATTAGGCAAAGTGAAATGAAAAGTATCCAGATTGGAAAGGAAGAACCTAAATTATTTCTATCTCTAGATGACATTATCTTGTATATAGAAAATCCCAAGGAATCCACAAAACACTACTAGAACTAACAAATAAGCTCAGCAAGATTGGAGGATACAAGAACAATATGCAGAAGTTAATTTTATAAACAATCTGAAAATGAAATTAAGAAAACAATTCTATTTGCAATTGCATTAAAAAGATTTTTAAAACCCTCAGAATTAAATTTAAAAAGTGCAAAACCTGTCCAGTGAAAACTGTAAAATACTGTTGAGATAAATTTATAAAGGACTAAATGAATGGAAATGCATTTGCGTTATGTGGCAGAAGAATTAACATTGCTAGTAAGGCAATACTTGCCAAATTGATCTACAGACACCAAAGCACAAGCAACAAAAAAAGGTAAATTAAACTTTATCAAAATTAAATACTTTTTACATGAATATCATGTCTTCATGATGCTAAATGAAAGAAGTCAGTCACAAAAGTTATATATTGCATTATTCTGTTTATGTGAAATGTCGAGAATTGGCAAATCTACAGAGATAAAAAGTACATTAAATTGGGTTGTCTTGTTATTATTGAATTATGAAGGTTCTTTGCATGTTTTGGAATCAAATAACTTAGATGTGTGAGTTGCAAATATTTTGTCTTAATTTGTAGATTGCCTTTTTCACTTTCTTGATGATATGATGTGATGTTTACTAGCTGTAGAATTTCTCCAAAATCCATACCTTGAAACTCTTTACCCATCACTTTTTTTTGCCATATCAACAATCTCTTTCATGAATTCCTTGATTGACTCTTGTAAATCCTGTGAAGTCATGTACAACATCTGAACACAGTTTTCTCCAGCAGAAATTTATTATTTTACACTTGACGGCTTTCATGGGTTTTTTCTATGACAAAGATGGCATTTTCAGTGGTGTAATCCTCACACATTTTTATGTTGTTCTCTCTAATGAGGTTCTCTTTACCATTGACAATACTTTCCATAAGGTATCATGTGTAATAATTTTTTAAAGGTCCTTATGACCCCCTGATCTGGAGACTGAGTTACAGACATTGTGTCTGGGGGCAAATAGTCCACTTTAATGTCCTTGGTATTGACCTTGTGGAATTCTGGGTGGCCAGAGACATTGTCCAATATCAAAAGAATTTTAAAAGGCAGTCTCTTACTGGCAAGGCACTTCCCCACTTCAGTGACAAAACATTAATGGAAGTAACCAAGAAAAAGCGTTCTTATTGTTCATGCATTTTTCTTGTATAACCAAAAGGCAAGTAGCTCATTTTTGTCTTTTCAATTCAAGGCCCAGGAGTTAGCAGCTTTGTGGATAAAGGCAGTCAACAACATAGAGTTATCTCTTTTTTTTTTCCATTTATTTATTTTATTGCATTTTAGGTTTTGGGGTACATGTGAAGAACATGCAAGATTGTTGCATAGGTACACACGTGGCAGTGTGATTTGCTGCCTTCCCCCCCATCACCTACATCTGGCATCTCTCCCCTTGCTATCTCTCCCCAACTCCCCACCCCCAACGTCCCTCCCCTATTTCCCCCCAACTGTCCCCAGTGTATAGTGCTCCCCTCCCTGTGTCCATGTGTTCTCATTCTTCAACACCCGCCTATGAGTGAGAACATGCAGTGTTTGATCTTCTGCTCTTCTGTCAGTTTGCTGAGAATGATAGTTTCCAGGTTCATCCATGTCCCAACAAAGGACACAAACTCATCATTTTTGATGGCTGCATAATATTCCATGGTGTATATGTGCCACATTTTCCCTATCCAGTCTATCGTCGATGGGCATTTGGGTTGGTTCCAGGTCTTTGCTATTGTAAACAGTGCTGCAATGAACATTCATGTGCACGTGTCCTTATAGTAGAACGATTTGTAATCCTTTGGATATATACCCAGTAATGGGATTGCTGGGTCAAATGGAATTTCTATTTCTACGTCCTTGAGGAATCGCCACACTGTCTTCTACAATGGTTGAACTAATTTACACTCCCACCAACAGTGCAAAAGTGTTCCTATTTCTCCACATCCTCTCCAGCATCTGTTGTCTCCAGATTTTTTAATGATCGCCATTCTAACTGGCGTGAGATGGTATCTCAATGTAGTTTTGATTTGCATTTCTCTGATGACCAGTGATGATGAGCATTTTTTCAT